GTGTCCTTGGCCCATGTTTTCCACCCTCTCACCCACATATACATCCTCTCTCTTGCCTCTTCCATGTGCATGACCCACTCCTCCTTTTCAAAGTTCCCAAGCTCACTACATCACTCACAACCGTTGTTTGGAGTGAGTTTGCTGGCGCACTTAAAGGCTTTTGTGTTGTACCTTGAGCACACAGGACAGTATGGGCATCGCCACTGAGAGGAGGGATGGTAGATGTTGTAGAGCCCAAGGATCTTCATGAGTGCTTTTAGGTCACAGGTGAGAACAGGTATGATCACATACTCTTGGTCTTCCACCTTGAGCTTCTCACTGTGCAGGAAGGAGTTGATCACCTCCCTGTGCAGTATGTTCCCATCATTGGCACCACACCAACATGTGAGTAACATGTGTTTAAAGGGAATGGGTGATGGAGTACCTCTTTGGTGTTACCTAACAACTCATGTAGTTCCTCTTCTGTTTCACCACCAATATAGATGATGAAAATGTGGCAATTGTGCAGTGATTTCACCAATGAGAGCAGCTCACCAGGGGTAAGTACTTGAAACCCCCCTAGCTCTTGTTGGATCTTCTTCCCTGATGTCATTGTTGCTCCATTGAGAGCAAACTTGACCAGGATGGGTTGTGTGGGGTCAGCTGGTGGATGATGTTTCAGGTGGTGTTGTAGGTAGGTGTGGAGGGGAACCTCATAGCTGATTTCGCCAACCACCTCAATGGGCAAGTTGCTGTTGTCCTTCTGTCACCTCTTCCTGATGGCTGTGATTCTTGTGTATGTCTCCTCCATGTACTTCCACTCATGGTTGGGGATTCTCATCCTGTCTTTGTAGGCCACCAGCTCTTTGATGGATGGGGGGTCACCTTCACACAGCTCAGGGAGTTGATTGGTGAGCTCAGTTAGCAGGTCGCCATCTTCCTGCAACTGCGCTGCAAGACAGGCTGCATAGCTCTCCTGATTGTATGCCAGCATCACAGCCTGTCCCTCTTTCTTAGTAACTTGTTGTTTTATATTTATGCAGTGTGGTGTACCTTTCTTGCTGTGGCCTTAAGCTCATCCCCCCACTTGACATTGTCATGTGCAGTGTAGCTGTTAGCTTGTTGCATGGCCGCCACCAGGAGTGTCTCCAGCCATGCTCCTAGCTTCTCTTTCCATGATGCTTGTTCCTGGTTGAAGGTCTCATTCTGTGCTTGCTTTTCCCCTTCTTTCTGCTCCCATTGCATGCACCTCTCCTCTGCTTCAGTGCACCCTTCACACTCACCAAT